GTAATTCATTGATTTGTCTAATTTGGTTAAAAATAGTATTTTAGGTTATTTAGTGTTTAGATATTATATATAATTAATATTTTTAGGTATATAATTTATATAAAAAATATTTAAATACCTATTTGGTTTCTCAGTTTGATTTCTATTTTTAGATTCTAGAGATATATGGTATGATCGATTATTTATGAAATTTGGTTTATTTAATTTCGTTTATTTTTTTTTTAATTTAAAAAATTAAGTACCCATTTGTGCATAATCAAAAAATAGAATCCACGCTTCTCAATGGGTTAATAACAATCTTTTGATTTTAAGATCTTTTTACCATATTCATTTTTTTAATTTTACAAGACTGAAATAAAATAATAGAACAACAACCCTCTCATTTTATAAATACAAGGTATCTCGAACCCCCTTTACCATCAACTCAATCAAATTTAAAAACACCATCAAAACCAATCAAAATATCTATTCCGAAATATTTGGCTTTACGGTTAACAAAAAAAAACCCGCGCTTCTTAAGCGCGGGTCAAAATCTAGTCTTATATATTAAAAGAGAAGTTATGACTTCACTTTATGTGTGATATTTTAAAATAGACCATCTAATAGAATTTATGACATTACATTATTAAATCATTAATAAAATTTATTAGATTCACTAATAACATTTATTGGGCTTACTAGAAATTTTTATTGGGCTAATAAAAATTAGATGATCCATTGGATTTATAGAAATTATAATAAAATACATGTTTAAATTAAAATTATATAATTTAATATTGTAATAGTATAAATTAATTATTTATATATTTTTGATGTTAACTTTAAAAATTATATAGTTTATTTTTAAAAATAACAATATCATCATTTTTAACAACAATTAATCTATACTATATAATAATTAATCATCATTTTCGATATACACACCTTATATAATATATAACAATTTAGAAAAAATAAATATTTGTATAAAAATAAATGAAAACAAATACCCGCGCGGTTGCGCGGGTTGAGATCTAGTTAATATTAAATAAGTGTAAAATTGTATTCTGTCATCTTTTTCTTCCTGGCCTATTTCTTTTTTTTTTCCTGTGTAGCAGCCATAGTTATTATAAGAATTTTCTTTAGAAAACATTAAATCATATGTTAAAGGTGAACCAAAAACAATAAATTTAAGATTTTTTCTTATTTTCTGTATCTTTTCTGATTTGACAAAATTTCGACGGCACATCCCACTGAACCGGCGAGTTAATGGGCGCTTCAGAAATTGCAGAGGTTGTTGTTCACAAATTGGGTTTCATAATTTGTACACTCTTTTTTCTTTTTTGTTTTTTGTTTTTTGTTTTTTGTTTTTTGTTTTTGAAGCACGATCCTTTGAAAAATGTGAAAAGTAAAGCATAAATCCAACTGCTTTGTGCAACTGAATAGCCTAAAGAAACGTAAGTATAAAATAAAACGTAACTGCTTAGCATAGCCTAGAAAAAAGATCATACCTTTTATTAAAGATTAGATACAATCATACAAAATCAGTTTTTTTTTTAAAACAGGTCCAGTGGCAAAAAAATAATAATATTCCAAGTAGTGGTGAAGGTAAAATTAAGAACGATTCTAAATTAATAGTATTGATCTCTGCTTTGTTATTCATAAAAAGAATCATTCTTTTGTATCTAACAACTTTAACCATAAACATCCTCCACATGCAGAGCTATTCAATTGTTGCTCCAACATATTTCAAGAGAAGCTGGTATAATAAAGTTATCTAGAGGCGATCCAGCAATCGGAATCCCAATGTTAGATTCACTAAATTGAAGAGCCAACAAAGCAAGATCTGATGGTTGCTGGCAAAACATCAGAACATCAAACCATGGAGTCAAAGCAATGTTTTGAAAACCGGACCGGTCACTGACTCGGTATAATTACTGGGTGACTGGTCAGACCGGTCGAACCGATCCAACCGGGTTTTGCGAATTTTTTTAACCTATATCTGATAAATGAAAAGTATAATTAACAGCTATTAAATAAAAAAGTTGTGATCATTGTTGTTTTTATGCTTGACCACTGTTGTTTATAATAGTCTATATATAACTTAATAGTAAAATGAATGATCATCAATGAATAATAATTGATTGTGTATGTGTATAACGAGAAAAAGAAAACAAATGTATTTAAAAACTAAAAAGGGAAAGAAAGGATTTTGGTTTTTAATCCAAACGCTAAGAATCATGAATCATATCAGAAGTTACCATTTCCATTTCAAAATTAATGAAGCATTTTTGTTGAACCGGTTTTTTTAATTGACCCGAGTCACCGGTTTAGCCGATTTTAGGCCGGTTTTGGCGGTTTAATTAACATCCGAGTTTTAACTTAACCCGGACTCGGTTTACTTAATGATTCACGGTCCAACCGGTCCGACCGGCCGGTCCGGTCCGGTTTTCAAAACCTTGAGTCAAAGTCACAAGGTTTGACATTTACATCACAACTTACAAGTCCACGAGGGCTACAATAGCATGTCATAGAAATGATAGGACACGTTGTGAAGCATGTTATTATTCTAAGCAAATGAAGAAATTTATTTTCATTATGTGAACCAAAAAAAATTATTGCTGCATGCCCTATCTAAGATTAAACTATTATAATTATAATAAAGCATATTCCTATTAGGTCATCCTCTTCTTTAACTATTGTTTTGTTTCTGAATAATTATTAACTATAGGTTATAACTGCCACCAAGAAAAAACCCAACTATGAACTACTGAAACCATAATTCAGAAACAAACTACTAATGCTACACACTTAATACAATTATAGTTCAACCCGATCAATAAAAACCAAGTAGAGCTAATGACTACCATTAGTCAACGAAATTCAGACGTGACTACACAGTCGGCCGGTCCATCATCTACTCCACCGTCTACGCTTCATAAATAACGTGTATTTTTAAAAAAGTAAAGCAACAATTACAAAAACATTAAAAAAAAACATTTAACACCCTAACTATAATTGCTAAAGAATTGATTTAATCACGAAAAATAACAAAATTTACACAAATAGCAACAATTAGTACCACATTCATTGAGTTCAAAGAAATGTAAAACCAGCAAAATTTGAAATACTTCAGCTTAGGAAAAATACCAGCAAATAAAATAAAATAAAAACCGAAAAGAAATTACCCAAAAATGTTAAACAACCCATCTCCTAATTTCTTCTTTCAACAATATCTAATCCTCACCCAAAAACACTATAAATCCAATACCAAAATTCTACATTATTATATAGATATTACATCTCCGATTGTTAAAGCCAATAGCTGTGATATTTTTTTATAAAATTTAAAAAATTCCATATCTATAAAAAATTATATTAAATGTAACGTTCAGTCATAAATCTATACAATAAAACAAAAATGTTAAATGCCCAATTGCGCAGACCACTAACTCAATGTGAAAAAAACGTAAAACAAAAAGGAACTCTACCAAACGGATCACACATCCTTCTCCTCAGTAATATATAAACAAATACAGCTAACAAAAAACTCCCATCCATTATTAAATCCCTATAACCAAAAAAAAAAAATTGCCAACAAAATCACATCATACGCTCACACTTAACTCCCTGCCGGGAGACCTTCGTCTTTGTGTCAAAAGTTGGCAAAACCTCACAATAAGATTATTTCAACACAATGATCTCCTGCAAAATCCTTAGCTTACTACAACGTTGCCAAATCTCTCAACCTATCAAGTTTTGTAAAGCAACCGGCACAAGCTAACCGACACACAGCTTTGTTAGAAACCTGCGTCAAGCCAACAACACGGATGCTCACTTTGTTAAAGGATTTCTAGAATTCTTTCAATCCCAAAATCGGACTCTAGGTCTACATCACATTAAAATAACTGCAGACCGTGACCACCTGCAAGGAAGATACGTCTACATGTTCTGCTCCTAGCCACAGGCCAGACTGCGCAAGGCATCACCATCATCAACCGCCTCACCGATGATAAAGGTGTTCCACTGGTGGAAGATTGCATGGCAGATTTCCAGCGGTCTGTTCAACCACCCCTTCTTCACATGAAAGATGTCTATGTTACCTTAATCGAAAAGATGTGGCCGGAGCTAAACTGTCATCCTCAGACAAGCGGAGAGACAACGGTCTGTTCAAAGTGTTTCCACTTCTCTTTGCTAATCCACTTCTACAAGATGATTATGGGTTTCACCGACCTCCTGGAATGAAGAGCAACCATATACCATATCCATTCTAACTGTCTACACAATCAACTTCTATGTTACTTTAAATCTTAAAATTATCGGACTTGAGTATAAGCGAAGTTTACATGTAAATCTTCATCGCCTCACATGAATAGCTTATCGTTTGCATTTTCTTATCTACATTTAAGAATTTTTTTTAAAAAAAAAGTTAAACTATATATGACTAACTATTGCTTCAACTAACACATGTCCTCTACGAGAATTCGTTGTTAACACTACAGCTACGAGAATTTCCTTCTAAAAAGAACAATGGAATTCATTTTAATACAACCCAAAATTTATTTTACTAATAAAAAAAAAAACAATTTAATTTTAATTTTAATTTTTTTTTTTTCAGACATCAATACCCGGCGCGTAGCGCCGGCACCCCCCTAGTCTATTACTATAAAGTAAAGTTTTCTCTACTCTTAGGCTGCCATGTCACTAATTACTCTAATGTAGGGTTGACACATGTCATAGCTTCTGCAACTCTGCCTTTCATCTCTTCTCAAAATAAACTTCTTTTATTCTTGGGCCATTACGTATACCACAGAAAGCGGCCCACTCGCAATAACCCTATTTCCCACAACCCTCAGATGGAAAACTAGGGCTCAAAGTCTCCTTTCTTCACCGCTGCCTTCGAAGCCATCTGTTGTAGAGCTCTCTGCGTTTTCATGGCGTCCCTTCCCTCCTCTATAGATGAGGCTACTTTCAATCGCATTTATTATCTCATAAACTCTTCACCCACGATCTCGAGTTGGATATGTCATCATCTTCTCAGAGTATATATAGGTATGCTCTCTTCCTCGAAGAAACACCTTCATATCTCTCTTACCATATTTACTCTCTTTAGAATGGCTAACTCTAGACTGTTCTTATTAGATGTCCAAAGGTTTCGTCACATTCCTAAATGCTACGTTTCTGCAGTGATATGGCCGTGACGTTGAGTTTTTTCGACTCTCAAGGCTGTTTCTTTTCACAAAAAAACTGAGGCCATGCGTGTTGATCCAAGGGTGGTTGTTGCTACCAACATTGGCCCTAAAATGGTTGGAGGTATTCAATTATCACATATTTTGAATAGATCTATACTTTGAGATTCATCACATTAGTAGCACTCTCCAGTATAATCTAACTGTCGCTATGTAGGCCATTTGTTTCTTAATGCCACCTCAGGAACACATATATATTTCGACAAGGAAACAATAGCAGGGGAAACCTGTTTCTACGGGTAAGCTATTTGGGAATTATAGGTGTATATGCACACTGTTGCTTTAAATAACACCGCATCCGTTTCCAATATAGGTTGGTCGCCAGAGACACTGGTCTTCCACTGGCGGCACCACTGCTGAGAGGGTATACTAAGGTGGAGCTTATATCATCTACAAAGAGATCTTCAAAAACTTCCGAGTAACTCAGGTTTGCACTCCACATTTGTTTCCTATACTAATCTTCTACACTTACATAACTGACCACCATCATTGATCTCAGTGAACAACCAGTTGGCTTCCAGTTGAAAACGTCTCTTTAGTACACACCAATTTGTCGCATTACAGAGCGGAGCCGAGTTCCTTCAGAAACGCACCACACCCTCAATGTTCTTCAGTTTTTCTTTTGTTCTACAGTCTTAGCACTAACGTTATTTATATTCTAGATAAACGCCTCTTTAAATGTCATTGTATCGCAGAGAATTTATAATACCAAAAGGATAAATAGTTGTTAAACAGAATCCAACCAATAACTTTACTTCAGTCTTTATATCTGTAAGGTAATAATACTGTGTAATTCGCAGAGATGGTACTCCTAAGGAAAACAAAACTAACGTAACCAAATAACCCAACATAGAAGAGCAATCTTAATATTTTAGTATACTTGCTTCCAAAGTTATTATTTAGCAGTAAAAATGACTGCAGTATCAGATAAATACTACATTACATCACAATGTCACTACCCGGTACGTTAGCTTGTGGTCCACTGTTGTGAAAAAAAAAAAAATAGAGGCAACCGGACTTATACACCGCAACAGATTACGGTTCAGCCAAATAAAACCAATAAAGGTAATTATGATCAAGAGACAAGACATGTAAATCCCTTTTACAAACACTTCTCATGCTGCCACATCCCGTACGAGAAGAATGCGCTACGTTAGATTATTCTTTCCTGCGAAAATATCACCTACCGTATTTATTTTTTGGGCAAGGTAATCTTTTTTACGATTTTACGAATACAAAGATAATTATGAGTTAAAAGTGAGATATTGCTATCCAATATTTAAATATTTATTTCTTTCCACATAATATTTAATTATCACAAAATTATATATATAAAAAAGTCAATATATTTTATGAGATTATTAAAATATCATCATATTTATTATACTTATGTTTTTTTAATGCCACTGTAAAAAATATTTTTTCTTTATTAATTTCATAAAATATTAACAGTTAGCCATAAACAAAACTATTTTAACAAAACAATTAAACAACCACAAAATGAAAGTTCACGAAATTGTTATCTATATATATTAACCAACTATTTTTTTTTTAACTGACACTCTATATTCACACATAAAAAAATTACACAATATTATATAATATTCAGCTTTTTCGGATTAGATGTCTTTCTAATTTTTCACACTAATTAAGAAAAATTTTAAATATTTTGTTTACTCCTATTTAGTTATTTAAAATTTATTAATTATTTTCTACTATTATGTAAGGATTAAACAAAATTAACTTGAAAGTATACAACCTCACTCACACCATTTTTTTTTTTTTTTTTTGCGGTTGACCTCCAGTTATCATTTTCTCGCACATATCGTTTTATCAAGCAAACAACATTAACACATGTTAGTTCCAAATCAAATCGAACATACTACCAACAAGAACTAAAACAAATTTTCTAACATAACCACACATGCAAAGAATATATACGATATACATCATACATAAATCATATCCCGCCCGTAGGGCGGGCCGACCCTAGTTATCCATATAATTAAAGATGTTGACCGTGCAACTAACTGCTTTTTAGGCATTATAGAATAAAATAATACGAGTTAAAAATATATATATACATACCTGAATAAAGTTTCCCCCAAACGCAAGCTTCTCAACATTATGTAACTTTTCTAGCATCTTTACCCCCATGGTTTGAAGAACATAAGTGTACTCAGTGTAGCTCCAGTCTGAGACACATGAAATTTCTAGATTAGCTTCGGCCAAAGAAGCGACATCAACCAAAGTACATGATAACTCAGAGTCATGCAATCTGAGACAATGGATGTGTGGTGCCACAATCTGCTTTGGCGCCAAAGACCACTCGTTACGTTGTACTTCTAATGTTCTCAGACGTAGGGATTTTCTGAGATCAAGAACATTTAGTTTATCCCAGTAATCGAAGGTTAAGTTCTCAAGAACCGGACACCCCGATAGAATCTTAGCCATGGATCCATTAGAGAGACTACAACAATTTAATGATAACTTCTGCAAGGATGTCCAAGACACAGTGCACTCAAGAGGAACAATCTTATGAGAAAATTCTAAATTAAGGTTGAGTTGCTTGACAGAAGAGCTGTTCCAAAAGAAATTATGAAACACATATGTAATATGAGAATTACATATATCGAGGGACAGACTCTCAACGTTGTGTGACATGGCCCACTTGCTCCACCTGTCGATGTATGGTTTGTTCTCTGTAATGGGTTTTATTCTGAGGTGAAAACTCTTTGTCTTGGAAGCTGTGTAGCGAGTTAGGGTTTTGTTTACCGAAGCTGCAGTCAGTTTACACAAATCTAAGGAGAGAGAAGGTACCTCGCACCATACATGCCTCCATCGTCTAGACAAGATTGACGTACTGATGGCTAATTTGGTCGGAATAAAACATAGTATGTGTTGTTGGAGGATCTCATCTGGTAAGTTGCTAATCGAGCCTACTGCTCCTTCGATTTTCCTGTTGTCACCCATCTTCATATGCGACATATATTCTTTCTTCGGGCACAGCTTTTATATATAGGGTACTCTATGATCTCATCTTATGTTTTTATTTGCTAAATGTTATTTGATCTCATCTTTTCCAATCTTAAAGAACCTCATAATATCTCACAAAAAAAAAGAAGACCTGCACAATGTATGTAACTAAAATATAAAATTTACTGATTATTTTTATATGTATTTGAAATTTTAGAATTTTGGAATTTTTATATAATTATCTATACGTAGGATCAAAAACAGTTGTAATTAAAACTGTAGATCAAAGTTTATAATTTAATGGACCCGATTTCATATATATTTTCACTTTTCAGTGTTCAAGTGATGGAAAATAAACGGAGTGTCAATGGACTTGATTGGTAGAGTATTAGCAAGTTCCCTAATGCTTTCTTAAGAAGCAGTTGGTAAAATATTTGCATTTAAAATATATAAAGTTTCAAAACTAATTTAGTATAAATTATTTCTTTGTCTAATAATATTATAAAATTATATTTTTTTTAAATAATAATTTTATAAAAAATTAAGTTAAATTTTAAATGATTTTTAAAAACAATATTTTAAGTTTTTCAAATACAAATAAAAAATTTAAAATTAATTATTGTCATGATTTAACATAACTATAATGATTTAAAAAATTAAAAAATTAACAAATTAAAAATTAACTCAGTTTTATATCATGATTTAACAATTTCAAAATTAATTATGGTTATGAGAAGTTTACGTTCATGTGTCAATCCTATTTATCTTCAATATTTTCTCTTGTTGTGTTTTTTTTTATTTTGGTTATTACTGGATATAAATATTTATTTTGAAGTTTATTCTCATTTCGTTTATTTATTTTTGACCTGGGATTTAGAAAATACTTAAGATTTAAAATAATTAAAGAAATACATACTTAGGTTAAAATCTACACTTTATGCACAATAAGTATTTTATATTATTATTTATTTTCTATTTTTCTGCATATTATAAAATAATAAATATATATATATATATATATGTATTAAATAACTTAGAAATCAGTTACTATATGTAATAAATTGGTGTATGCATATAAATTTAACTATCAATCTTTTTTATTCGTAATTAGGGTAAATAAATCAAAATAATCAATCTTATATATTGTATATGATATATAATTAAATTTAAATGATATAAACATAGTAATATAGCACACCTTTTATATGTATATTTATTAAATGAGGTTTCTACTCATATGATTTTATGATTATTTGCATATTTGTGTAACAAAACTTTACACCAGCGATTTTTCTTTTTAATGTGAGATGTTTAGTAGTTTCAATAGTTTATAATCATTTAAAAAAAAGAATAACATATTTCAAAATTAAAATATTAACTTTTCAATATATGTTCAATGCAAATATCAAAATATAAGTATGTATTTTCATACGATGTATAGTTTAATTTAAACAATATGAAATATATATAAACTAAAATTATTTCTTCATATGGTCTTATAATCATTATATTTTAATATAGAAAAAAAATTAAAACATTGATCCTAAAAGTTTATGTGAGACTTTTAAAAGTTTTATTAATTTATACTTATTTTGAAAAATTCGAAATACAACATACACAAAAAAAAATAGATTTTTATTATATGATTAATGTAATTGTGTAATTTAATAATAAAGAAATAAACAAAATGAAAAAAGTATACAGATTGTTATCAAATATTTATTGTTTAAATTCATTAATTTTCATATATATCTTTTAATCACATTAGGTAATTCTGTAGGTTTTATTTAAGGAAAACATGCGAAACAATAAATGTTTGATATATGCGATCAACTATATCCTACTGAATATTATATTGCTAGAGAGTATAATTTTTAGACTATACATAATATTACATGCTCTAAAATCCTTCTAAATTGAAATAGAAGACAAATAGTTATGTTACATAGGATGTGAGTTATTTTTAATTATTACAAACTTAAAGTTACAACTTTTTAAATGATTCTCTTTTAATATATAGGGGATGTGATTTTATTAAATATAAAACTCTATCTTTTAAATTAAGCTACATAATGACATTTGGAAGTAAAATATCTAATGATTTTAATTGTGTCACTAGATTTTGACCTGCGCAAACGCGCGGATGTTTGTTTTCGTTTATAGTTTGTTATATAAACATTTTGTTTTCACTTGTAAATTGGTATATATTATAGTAATCACATATTTACGATATGTATAGTAAATGTTTTTCAAACATAATAATATTATATAATGCGTGTTTTAATCAAATAGATTGTTTCACTTTTTTTATATTAAACATGTTTTTCAAACATATGTTTGTTTCTTCTTTTATATTTTATTGTTTGTTAGATTGGTATTTCATTTTTTAGATAAATAATATAAATAGAGCTTGATTATATATTAGTATACTTTAATTTTCAAAGATAATATAAACTTCGAAGAAATTTTTACTAAAAACTAAACTTATAGCTTCATAAATTAATATTATAAAGAATTTTTTAAACAAATTCTTTTTTTTTTAAACAATATAATTTTAAAAACTTACATCGAAATAAATTTATCTAGTATATTTAGCGTGTAAATTTTTTTAGAATATAGAAATATTCCATATTACGAATCTGTGATTTTTGTTAATATATTGTGGATGCATTTAACGATTAAAATTGACATATTTCTTTATAAATAATAGAAGATTCATAAACTTATATATGTTGACATATTTTTCGTGACTAAGTTGGAAGGTGTGGGATAATTTACCAAAACCAAATTGTTAAGCGTATATTTGTTATTATAGATATGATTTTTCATAAGATATAATAATGATAAGATTATTAGAGAGTTAATGTAACTTAACTTTCTAATAATAGTCTATTTTTTAAAAAATCACACATGAAGTCAAGTCATGACTTCTGTTTTAATATGTAAGATATAAAAAGAAGTTCATCTTATCAGGGTATCAAATCTAATATATTAAAATAGAAATCATAACTTTGTTTATGTATGATATTTTTAAAAATAGACCATCATTAGAAATAAGTTATCATTCATTTATTCATAAAAATATGATGTAATAAGTTATCATTCATTTATTCATAAAAATATGATGTAATAATATTTTATTCCTAAAATAAAAATAGACTCCTATAAAACCATATTGGTTAACAAACATATATTTGATTCCTTAATAAATTATACATAATGGTAATGTAAACCATCGTATAATTCAAAATACTAAACCGATTTAAATAATCCAACCAATGTATATATAATGGTTGTATAAACATCTGATCTATTAAAATAAAAATCATGACTTCTTTCATGTGTAATTTTTTTTTTTTAATTTGGACTATCTTTTGAATTAATTTAATCATAATATCTTTTGATATCTTTTCTATTTTAAATATAAATATATATTTTTTAAAAAAATCTAACAAATCTGTTTAAAAGATTTAACAAGATCTTAATATTCAAAAATTCTGAGTAAGGTGCAATGAACCCGACGGATGAGGTTATCGTGGCTAAACATCTCCTTGAATCGACTCTCATGCGTAAGCTAAACGATTTTTTGGTTAGATCCGGTTTTGGAAAATGGTTGTTAGTAGTCTGAACCGGAAATTACTAGCAGAGAGAATTTGAGATCCGGTTTAAGGAGAGGTTGAGAAATCTTGTGAATGTTTGTGATCACTGTAATGGATCTTAGTTGTGTGTTGTAGTTAGAATAGATAGGCTGATGATGATGTTTAGCTCTTTGATTTTTTTTTCCAATTTAATCGCTGGTCTTCCTGCTCTGATTCAATCAAATTTGAGGTGGAGAAATCCAGTCTCAGTTTTGAGATTTGGTAAACCTTGGTTGCTACTTGCTAGTGTGATTGCTTAGTTCTTCACCTCCTCTGTATCAACTTATGACAGTCAAATTGGCTATTTAAGTATCCAGAAAGCTTTTTGTTATTTGAAATTGGCTTCTCCGGAGACTTAGTTCGAGCCTTGAAACTATGTTTTATGCTTTGTAGATAAAACCTTAGTTGTTGCTTGCTAGTGTGATTGCTTAGCTCTTCTCTCTCTATCCATTTACTGCAGTCAAATTGGCTATGCAAGTATCCTGTAGCTTTTTGTTATGCTTTCAAAAGTTCCTGAAGTCACTGAAGTTCCAAACTTTAGTGAAGAAGCTGAGAGTTATTTGGAAGGGATTATTAGTGGATGTATTGTCGATGTAATTTGCTTGGATCATAAAGTTTCAAATAAGAAATTTGATGATGTGAAGATTTGAGTTTTTGTTTTGATTTTTGAAATAAGAACCCTTAAGGACTCTTAAGTGGAGAACACCATTGGACATACAATTTAGATTAAAATCCTTAACTATTCAAAATAAAAAATAAAAAAAATAATAATATTTTTTTAGTGGTTAAGGACTTCAATGGGAGTAACACCATTGGAGTTGCTCTAAGCTATCTAACGCTCATGACTTTATCTATTGACAACAACATGTGTTTTTAATTGCACCCTATAGAATGTGCAGCCCTAATTTCCAAATACATACTAAACTAAAAGACTTATTCCTTGTTAAAGGGTTAAGATACAGTTGGTGGATGTACGAGTTCCATTATCAAGCGGCTAAAGTAGAGAGTAGCCATAGCCAGAGCAATTTTAAGAACGCAATAGTGCTGATGTGGATGAAGCAACAAGTGACGTAGATGCCGAGTCATAGCCATAGGTAGAGCAATTTTTAGAAACCTCCTATGGTGTTGCTGATGGATGTTTCAGGACAAGCTTTCTTAGGCTAAACCCGATTGAAGATCTTCAAGAATGACATTGGATTTTGCACAATCTAAAGAAGTTTGGTCTATTTGGCTGGCCAAAATATCTTTTTTTTTCTCTACCTCTATCACTCTAATCATCTTCAGATGTGGCTTGACTTTTGTAATGGTGTTTACTGGATGAATCAAACTGTTAATATTCCTAGAAGTTCTTTGTTCATATAAATACCTAAACAC